ATTTGGCTCATACTGAAGATTTTTCTAATTTACAATATTCCTCTATCTCTAACCAGATTTAAGCTACAAGCTCTTTAAATAGTGATATAAAAATTCATATTTTACTGAAAAAACGATAGTGCCTAAAGGGTTAAAGCACAAGTTCACTAGTTTTTTATTTTTATTTTTTCAACTCATTATCAGTATGACGAATACCTTGTGAGTTGATCTCTGTGGAAAAACGTTCTGGCGCTCCTGTTTCATGAAGTAAAAGTTAGCAGAAAACTGCAGGATGTGGAGTCTTATTATTTCCTGGTATTCTCAACTCTGATTGGCTACCAGCAGCACAGCGTTGATGTTTTTTTCCCCCACAAATAACACAAGCCAGAAAAAGTTCTGCATGTTGTGGAGTAGCTAACGCTAACAGATAGCTTCTGCTAGCTCAGGCACACTCCGCTCCCCTCTGGCTGCAAAAATCAACAACCTTCTCTGTCGTGAGCCAAAGTGGGTGAGTGCATGAAAGCAAAATTACAGATCTGATCTGTCGTAGATCTGTGTGGCTTTTTTATGACTTAAGCGCCTCCCTGTCTCTTTTCCATCTGTGGCTAATGCAGGAAGCAAACTTCCAGCCTGCATTTGAAACACTAAGACACATTTCTAAAATAACAATAACTGAAATGTAACTCCAGGGAAGTTAAAGGCTTTTAATCAAAATAAGAAGAACTCACCTTTAATTTCCTCCACAATAAAATCTCCCTTCTGACCTTTACACCCGCGAGCGCCCTTAGATCCAACTGGACCCTGCATTCAAACCAAAACTTCTTCAGTTGGATGTTAGCTGTGGATTCCTCTCACGCTGTTGTTTGAAACTCACCTGCTTACCCCTTGCTCCCATGTCTCCAGGTAAACCTTTGTCTCCTCTCAGACCTGGGGCTCCTGTGACACCTGGAACACCTTTAGCCCCAGTCTCCCCCCAAGGACCAGGTGGGCCCATCAGAACGACCAGACCACAAGAACAGCTACCAAGATTCCCTGAAAACACACACACACGCATGCATGCATGCACGCACACATGCACACACACACACACACACACACACACACACACCACACACACACACACACACACACACACACACACACACACACACACACACACACACACAGATTATTCTCCAGATAGTTTTCTCTATTCTGCAGGATTCCAAAGCCGAGACGTCGTGGGAAAATAAAGCTCTTCAAGAAACAACTCATATTTATTTTCATCATTCTATAAGGAATAAATAAACTGCCAACATACACACCTTTATCCCCTTGGAAACCCGAGGCCCCTGGGGACCCCTGTTCACCTGGTTCACCAGAATATCCTGGGAGTCCAGGAAGGCAGTACGTTCCTGCAGAGGAAATAATGAAAGGCAGAATAACAACGGATTTCTACTAATTATTTGTACGTAAACTAAAAAACAAACAGGGTTTGCTTTTATACCTGGGATACCCATCTCTCCCTTTGGCCCTCTGAGACCTGGACTACCTGGTTTTCCAGGTTTTCCAGGTAGTCCAGGTCCTTCTGCGATCTGCCCTGGTTCTCCTTTGACCCCTTTGGCTCCTGAAACCCCTTTCTGACCATCAAAACCTGCTGGTCCTACAAAAACAAAAGAAATAATTCATAGAATATCTATAGTACATCCATCCATTTATCATCCACTTATCCGGAGTCGGGTCGCGGGGGCAGTAGTCTAAGTCGAGAGGCCAGACTTCCCTCTCCCCAGCCACTTGAGCCAGCTCCTCCGGGGGAATCCCAAGGCGTTCCCTGGCCAGGTGAGAGACATAGTCCCTCCACCGTGTCCTGGGTCTACCTTTAGGCCTCCTCCCAGTTGGACGTGCCCGGAAAACCTCACCAGGGAGGCGTCCAGGAGGCGTCCTGACCAGATGATCGAGCCACCTCAACTGGTTCCTCTCGATGTGGAGGAGCAGTGAATTTACTCTGAGCCCCTCCCGGATGACTGAGCTTTATTTCTAAGGGAGAGCCCAGCTACTCTTCAGAGAAAACTAATTTCGGCCGCTTGTATCCGCGATCTCGTACTTTCAGCCACTACCCAAAGCTCATGACCATAGGTGAGGGTGGGAACGTAGATCGACCGGTAAATCGAGAGCTTCGCCTTCTGACTCAGCTCTCTTTCATCATGACAGACCGGTACAACGTCCGCATCACTACAGATGAAGCACCAATGCCCCTATCGATCTCTCGCTCCAGTTTTCCGTCACTTGTGAACAAGACCCCGAGATACTTAAACTCCTCCACTTGGGGCAGGACCTCCTCCCTGACCCAGAGAAGGCATTCTTATATATAATCTGGTTTCATTTGAACGCCTTTCATACCACCTTATATACAAGTAAGGCTCTATCACACCACCTTAAATTTATCAAGGGGGGGGGGTGTAACTCTTCTGCTTAAGTGTAAAAAAAAAATACTTAAAATTCTGAATAATTAACGAGTATCGGAGCCACGTCAGAGCCAGAGCTAATGCTAGGAGCTAGCCCCGGGGAAAGGCCTCAGCCTCGCGTTAAAAATGTTCGGCCATTTCACTCTCTGAACTTTAGTGGTGTCTGTGTGTTTGTGTTTGGATGGGGCGAGCTGTGGTTGATGACTGCACTGGGGTTAGAGTTGGGGTTAGGGTTAGATCATCTAAGCAGATCCAACAGATCATTTCTGCTTCTTTTTTATCAGAAAGTAAAATTATACGTGTTGACTTTATGCCGGTTGAATAGGGGGAGAAGCTGTGTCATTTAACATAACACTGCTTGGTTAAGAATGGGTATAATGTGTTGGTGGGGCTGGCTGGGTATACCGAAACTCTTAAGGCTTCAGGGCTTTGCTGGTCCATTGCAGTCAAAGATTTGCAAGGTTGCCGCTGCAGAGAGGCTTGCAGAGTTTTGGTAACATGCCTCCCCCTTTAAGAGCGGCAGTCCTGAGATCAGAGATCCGGAAATCTGCTACTTCATCTTTGCGGTGGAAGCCCAGCGAGGCGAGTGCCCGGCTTCTCCTTCTCTCGGCCGGAAACAGCTGCTTCACGCAGGCGGCATGCTCCCGTCTCCTGAGGGGGATGTTCGCCTGGCTTCCAAGCCAGGATGCAATGGCGCCCCCAAGGGATGGCAAGGGGTGGCCATGGCCACCCCTAGAAATTTGTTTGTGTGTTTTTGTAAAATGTAAGTTAACTCATTCGCTGCCAGCGTTTCTCACCGTTTTTACGTTTTTTTTAAGAGTCACAGAACGTTGCACGCTAGGATGATGTCGACACCAAAACAACCAAAACAAAGCGGAGAATCACCTCTTACATCAGGAAGAATCTGTACATTTCGAGCATTATCCGTTCTTTCATAATCCGTTGTTGAATTGTGATCGGCAGAAGCTTTTCCGTTTCGCGCCTCACCTTTTTTACAGCAGCGGCCCAAAACAATCTCCTAACACATGGATGTTCTGCTTCCAGATTACGTGACGTGTGACGTCTGCGGATGAAGATCGGCTTTAGAGCTAAGATGTTTGTTCTCACGGTGCGGGGGCTCGTTCGGACACCCACAGTGAACAGCTGGATTTAAAATGACGACATTAGTCGTCAATGGCAGTGAATGAGTTAAATGTTTTGGATACAAACTGTTTTTATAATAAAAACAAATAAAAGGAGCAATGCAGCACATCGCCACAGGCTAAATCTACCAGAGTTACCACAAGGACCAATTTGGTGTGCCACCCCCAAAATTTTCTTTGGTCCCATCTGGCCACCCCTATCAAAATTTTCTGGAGACGCCCCTGCCAGGATGTCGTTAACCTGTGGAGCTCCCTGAGGGAGATTACAGAAACGCTGCTGCTCTTTGAGCTGACTTTGGAGTCGCTTTCTGCGTTTCTCTCGCTAAAAGCAACCAAATAACCTCCATTAGCTTGAGTTAGCATGTAGCTCTTGCTGAGCTGCGACCGAGGCGGAGCATGACCTCTCGTAAGCAGTCTGAGTGCCTGGCTCCAATCGCAGTTGTCTAAGCCTCTGCTTGTATTTTAACAGTCCATGTTATAGCTCCAAATGCGACCAGCATGACCACAGCCTTGCATGGAAACCAAGCGACCGCGTGGGCTGGCTACCCCGGGGCCTCTTCCTGGCTTCTTGGGTTAGCTTAGTTAGCTAGTAGCTACATTGGTTCATTTTTCCTAACCGTTACAGCCCTACCCCTTTTTCCAGTTTTGGATGGTCTGGGCTAGATGAAACGTGTGACACGGTCAAAATGGCGGTGATGGATACCTCCCATTTTATATCAAAAACGTATCATTTGAGCATATGGATATTATTAGTCCAGTATTTACGTCGATGGTCTTACCCTGTACTGAGATATAGCGTAGGAAACATGCCATGTTTTTGCTAAGACCCCCCCCCCATAGATGGTGCCATCAGATAATGAATCTCTGTACTGTAAATCTAAAAGAGTCTACGTGCTGATTGTTACATGACTTATGCCAGAACTCACCTGGTATTGATATCCCGCGGGGACCGGGAGGGCCATGCATACCCATTAGCCCCATGTCCCCTGACTGACCCCTCTGTCCAGGGGCCCCGGGCTCCCCAGTCTCCCCTGGAAGACAGGAAACAATCAGCTGATTCTGTCCCAGTCAGCTGATGGATAGGTGTATTGATCTGAACCTGTGTGAGTGATGTCAACAATCCGAGGGAGGCCTTTAAGGCCCAGATCTCCCATCGTGCCCTGCAGGGGGAGGGGCCAAATTAAAAGACACATTCAGGAGGCTTTGCTCTTTTGTGAGACATAGAAGTCCTCAAACCACAGACGTACCTTCAGACCCTCTCGCCCAATCAGACCTGGGAGGCCCCAACTTCCTGGTATTCCCTGGAAATCATAAACACCTTCAATCCAAACCTGAGAAGATCCCAAACCAAAGAGAAACAGGAGCCAGAAACAGAACACTTCTATTTGGGCTCACCTTGACACCTCTCTGTCCAGGCAGACCTGGCTGACCCGAGTTACCCTGGAACAGAAACACACTATGTTGAACCACAAACCTGAGCTTCTGATTGGTTCAACAGAACAGACCAATTTGGACCAATCACTTCAAAAGGGAAGAAAGCTTACTCTGAATCCTGGAAATCCCACAATCCCTTTCTCTCCTTTGATCCCAGGGAGTGAGTCAAGACCCTAAAAGCATCAAGCTTCATTTTCATCTTCACACTCACAGCCAATAATAGGCCACTAAACCTCAGTTCTCCCAAAAGGACGTCCAATCACCTCAAAGACGCTCAAAGAGGAGAACAGCAGGTCCTGTTCTTTAAACTTACCGGTAGTCCCTGTCCTCCACATTCTCCTGTTTTTCCTGGAGAACCCTAAAAAAACAACAAATACTCATTTCAAAACCCAACCCAAACAAGACCCAGGAAACCCGTTATGGAAGCAACAGAACACAAAACTAAGATCAAAATGAAATTGTTTAATTTTGCAATCCAAAAATATTCCAAAAAATAATAAATAAATAAAAAACACACATTTTAGAATCAGACACCAAAGCCCCAAGCCCACATTTAACCTTGGAACTGCAAGGACTGTAGAATAGGGATGAGCGAGTACACCACTACCTGTATCTGCATTCGGAGTGGGCGTGGCCTAACCCGGAAGTGGGTGTAGTTTAACCGGAAGTGGGTGTGGTTTACATCAATACGTTATTTCAAGTCTGATCAGAAGTTGCTATGTGTATTGTTTATTTGAAAACTATTTACAGAGCAGCCTCAGAGTTGAGATTAAATGTTTTTGATCACAATAGTAAAGGAACTATTACAGAACAAGTTTTTCAACAAAATCTGAACATTAATATTTAAGTGCACGAATTAGGAGAGAGAGAGAAGAAAAGATCTTTTCTATAGCGCCTCTCAAGATAAAAATCACGGGGCGCTTCACAAAAACAAAACATGTAAAATAGAAAAAAGAATTTAGAAAATGATTAAAATATATTTAAAATGAGCAAAAAATAGACAATAGTGATTAAAAATGTAAAGAAAGAGAGAGAGAGAGTGAACAGGAAAGAGGGAGCGGATCCTGAGGAAGAGGAGAGAGAGGAGAAAAAAAAACGACCGGAGCGGAGGCAGTGACTGACGCAGCACGAGCTGTTTTCAGCTCTGTCTTGTCAAATGCACCACGTACATTACGAAAAAAGTAACTTTAAAAAGAAACAAACTGAAGAAAACCTAGGGAGTACTGAAGAAATGTGAACAGTGAAGCAAGCACAGAGAGATCCGTTACTCTGTGTGTGTGTGTGTGGGGGGGGGGGGGGGGGGGGGGGGACCGGACGCGGACTGAGACCCCGGCTGCAGAGTTTTGTGTGTAGGGAGGGGCGGGCACTCTATTTGACTGGCCAATCACAGAGCGTGAAGACAGTCAGTTACCCAATGAGGATTTTCCTTCAGTACGATTACAGATATTTGCAAGTTTTACTCGTTTCATGCTCATACTCGTCAAAAATGCTTTATCCATACCGGATACTCGTCTGAAACGAGTATCCGGCTCATCCCTACTGTCGAACCAACAGAGCCCAAAGGTAAAAGAACAATAATCAGTGAAATTACAGTTCAGTGGTACGGTCACAGCAGAACTGGAACACATAGAACAGACCTGTTCTCCTTTGATGTAAAGGTCATCTGGAGGTTCCACATATTCATAGGGCCCTGGAGGCCCCTGGGGGCCCTGGTCTCCCTGTGGATCAAAGATAGTACCACATGGGTTCCATTCTATATATAAAGATACAGATCTATATAGAGATATAATATGTTGTCCCAGCAGAGGGGATAGCCATTCAGCTGTTGGATCAGGCAAGATGTCCATGGAAAGATTGAAGCTACTATGAGGATGCTAACCGAAGTTATGGAAATTTAAGGGTTTTAGCAGTATGCTGCTTTGGATTGTAGACATAAGACATTAATCCCACCTTTGTGGATTAAAATAGTCCATGTTCGCTCAAGAGGACTCTTTTCTGTCGATAATAGGAAGCTTTAAATGTTGAGTTGTATATTCTTGTACATTTCCAAGTGGTTTGATAAAATCATTTACTGTATCTACAGTTATGATTGTTGCAAAAACTCTAATTTGACCTGAAAGAATATAGTTTACCCTCCGTGGTACATAAATGGTGCAGCATAACTTAAAGTGCCATTCAAGTGATGTGACTAAAACAATGTCGTGTGGCCCTAGCCTGATGAATGTGTGGTCGGTGTGTAGCCTGATTAATGAAGCTAAGGGGCGTGGTCTGATGAATGCAATGGGGGCGTGGCCAGACTGAAGCTGTTTCACTCCAGCGTTCATACCTCATCTCCTTTTTGTCCTGGCAGTAAAAGACCATTTTCTCCCTGAAACACAAAAATCACGCTGGTGACTGAACAGCTGATCTATAATCAGTAATCAATCGGCTGATGGTAATTGTATTTGATCGGATTTTAGTCCCATTAAGACAAGAAATCTAAACTCTTTCCCGCCCTAAATAACCTAAAAATAAGACTGAAAACACTGAGCTGCTAAACTTACAGGCGGACCCCTCGCACCAGACGGGCCAGGGGGACCCTGGTAAGAAACAAAGCAAACAAAATTCATTCAAACGACCTGAATTAACCAGAATTGAACTAATCTGAGTTTGTTGTGACTCACATTTATCCCATTTGGTCCCGCAGGACCAGCAGCTCCCATCGGTCCTGGCAGACCCTTCTCACCCTGCACACAAACAGGAAGCAAACTAAGGTAGGACCTGTCAAACAGTTTTCTCTCAGTACCTAATGGTTGGATCAGTTCTCACCGGCAGACCGGGCAGTCCACTGGGTCCAACGTCCCCCTGTCATACACAGAAACTGGGATTATTTCCTCTGCGGAGCTCTTTCAGAACCAGAAAACATCAGCCTTACTCACAGGAACTCCATGATACTGGATGACATGAATCACTGGATCTCCTGGGTACCCTTTCGGTCCTGGGAAACCCTGTAGAATTAAGCACAGTTACCATAGTGATGACCTAATGAAGGACTACCTACAGTACACTGCTCTTAGCTGTTGCCATTTACCAGTTCTCCATCAAATCCTTGTTCTCCTAAGGGTCCCGGATACCCCCGGTCCCCTCTGGTTCCATTACAACCATCCAAACCTGGAACACCAGGACCTCCACCAGCTCCTGGGTGACCCTGAACCCACAAACAAATGAAGACGTCACCTGCTTTACAAATACAACAATCAGAGAAGATATCAGAGGAGAGACGGGACTCCTTACCGGAACTCCTTCTAAACCTGGGAAACCGGGAACCCCATTAGGTCCCTAAAATCACAGACAGAGCCAACAAAATGTTAAAGTGTTCTCCACATATGTGAGGACGTGGGTCATAAACTCAGAGCTCTGATTGGTTTAACACAGAAGTATACCATGGTCTCACATCTGAACCTTTTATGTTTGTCAGGTAGGACTGGTCCCTCTTAGGAAGGAGCCCTCCAGAAACCAAACGGATCTACTTAGAGCCTTCTAGAGTCCTATGACCCCCCAAGGCACTTTGCAACACAATCAGTCATTCACACACTGGTGGTGATGAGCTACAGTGTAGCCACAGCTGTCCTGGGGCTCACTGACAGGAGTGAGGCTGTCACCACCGGTCCATCCCATCACCACCAGCCGGTGAAGAGGGTGAAGTGTCTTGCCCAAGGACACGACAAACTGAGCAGGGCTTGAACCTACAACCCTATGGTTTCTTAACTCCACTTCCACCATCGCCAAAGGACATAATAACAAACAAACAAACAAACAAACAAAAAATGCCCGCAAATAAAGGCAAAACAGTGTCAAGCCCAAATCTAGTTAACATCAGTCCGAATAAACAGCGGAGGAGATGCTACCAACAACCTGGAGGCCACCACTCTCTGGTCATAAAGCAAGCTTCTGGATTTACCGACATCCTTCAGCAGAAAGAAGGCGTGGAGTTCCAAACGCCTGCAACAGCAGTTTAAATCACCTGAAATCCCAGTTTGATTCAGACCTTGGTTTTTATTTCACGGTTCGGTTTATTTTTACACGATTAGGGAACAACGTGAAAGAGATCATATTTATGTGTAAAAGGGCACAGACGGTCTCTGATGCCAACAGTGGACCGAGTAGACCGGTTCCTTTGAAGGACGCAGCCTCTGAATGTGAACATGAAAACATGTACCACTACAACCACAGGCTTTAATAATAATGTGCTCTCACTTACTTGATCTCCTTTTGGTCCAAGAGCTCCGGCGGGCCCCTCGTCTCCTCTCTGGCCTTTTGGTCCTGGAGGTCCCTGAAGACCGGGGAAGCCTGGAGGCCCCACAGGGCCCTGAGGGCCCAAAGGACCTGGAACACCCTGCAGAACAAAAACTGTTAAAAGCTGACAGATCTTAAGACCAGAGTAGAAGGTTTGGGAACCTAGACCTTGGATGACAGAACATCATTTAAACAAGGTACGACTTAAAAAGGTTTTCTATTTGTTGCCCTACTGGTTGAAATTGGAACAACTGTTGTAAACAACCCTGCTGCCACCTCCAGTGAGTGTAGACCGCGCCGATATTCACTCTGGTTGAAGATCTTTGCTTCGCCTCCAAAGAAATTACTTCCTGGCTCCGCCTTGATGCTTTTTATAAACGATCGGCGAAATGAAGAAAGTCTAACTACTAGCCTTCATATGAGCTACCAGCACAACAGGCTCCACCCTGACCGCGGCTCGTACCCGAACAACAACGTTGTAAGTGCTGTCTAATGTAAGGTCGCTCCAGTTTATGGCTGAAGAACCACTGAGACCAGTTTGAAGACAGTAAGTGTTAAAAACTCTTTAGTGTTGCTTTAAAATCTAAAGGAGCAAAGTTGGAACAACTGAATGAATTAAAACCTTTCAAAATAACAAGAGATTAACAAAAAGACCCAAACACGTCTAAACCAACACGATCAAATAAGTTCGGTTATCCATCCATCCATTTTCATCCTCTTATCCGGAGTCGGGTCGCGGGGGCAGCAGTCTTAAGGCGAGAGGCCCAGACTTCCCTCTCCCCAGCCACTTGGGCCAGCTCTTCCAGGGGAATCCCAAGGCGTTCCCTGGCCAGGTGAGAGACATAGTCCCTCCACCGTGTCCTGGGTCTCCCTTTAGGTCTCCTCCAGGTTGGACCCTAATATTAGTGATGCGGACCCTCAGCTGGTCCAAAATGCATGCGGCCGGCTTGCTGACTGGAACCAGCAAGCGGGATCACATAACCCCGGTTCTGGCCTCTCTCCATTGGCTTCCTGTCTCTTACAGGATCCATTTGAAAATTTTACTTTTTGCTTTTAAATCCCTTCATGGCCTGGCCCCATTTTATATATCTGATTTGGCTTTTAATGCAGGCTGACTTGAGCATCTTAACAGCTTTTAACAGCTTTTATTACAGATTGTGACTGTTGTGTGCTCATCTTATTTTAGGTTTTTAATTGTTGATCTGTTGTACCTTGATTTGTTTTACCTTGTACAGCGCTTTGGTGTAGCTTTGCTGCTGTAAATGCACTCTATAAATAAAACTGACCTTGACCTTGATGTGCCCGGAAAACCTCACCAGGGAGGCATCCTGACCAGATGCCCAAACCACCTCAACTGGCGCCTCTCAATGTGGAGGAGCAGCGGGTCTACTCCGAGCCCCTCCCGGATGACTGAGCTTCTCTCCCTATCTCTAAGGGAGAGCCCAGCCGCTCTTCGGAGGAAACTCATTTCAGCCGCTTGTATCCACGATCTCATTCTTTCGGTCATTACCCAAAGCTCATGACCATAGGTGAGGGCGGGAACGTAGATCGACCGGTAAATCGAGAGCTTCGCCTTCTGACTCAGCTCTCTCTTCACCACGACAGACCGGTACAACGCCCGCATCACTGCAGATGCAGCACCAATCCGCCTATCGATCTCACGCTCCAGTTTTCCCTCACTCGTGAACAAGACCCCGAGATACTTAAACTCCTCCACTTGGGACAGGACCTCCTCCCTTGGTTTTCATTTCACGGTTCGGTTTATTTTTATATGATTAGGGAACAAAGAGAAAAAGATAATATTAGTTAATGTTATGTTTATGTATTTAGCAGACGCTTTTGTCCAAAGCGACTTACAAGTGATAATCGGCATGTTGCTCTTGAGGCTAACAACAACTTGACATCAATCATGGAGAGGAGGGAACAAGGAGTGGACAGTAGAGAGGGGGACGGGTGGAGGGAGGGTGCTAGTTTAGAAGATGCTCTCTGAAGAGCAGGGTCTTCAGGAGTTTCTTGAAGATTGAAAAGGAAGTCACTGTTCTGGTAGTGCTTGGAAGGTCATTCCACATTTGTGGAACGATGCATGAGAAGAGTCTGGATTGTCCTGAGCGTGGTGTAGGCACTGCTAGCCGATGATCCTGTGATGACCGGAGCGGCCGGGCCGAGACGTAAGCCCTTGCAAGAGGATTCAGGTAGATGGGAGCCGTACCATCTCGGACTTTGTATGCTAGTGTTAGCTATTTGAATTTGATGCGTGCTGCTAGCGGTAGCCAGTGGAGCTCAATGAACAGAGGGGTGACGTGTGCTCTTTTTGGCTGATTGAAGACCAGACGCGCTGCTGCGTTCTGGACCATTTGAAGAGGTCTCACAGTACAGCCTGGAAGACCAGTTAGAAGGGCGTTGCAGTAATGGAGGCGGGAGATGAAAGTAGATTGCACCAGGAGCTGGGTGGCATGTTGTGTTAGGTATGGTCTGATCTTTCGTATGTTATACAGCGCAAAGCGGCATGAACGAGCAACAGAGGAAACGTGATCTTTAAAGGTCAGGTGTTCATCAATCACAACACCCAGATTTCGAACTGCCTTTGAAGGAGCCAGAGGTAGGAAGTCATTTTGGATTGAGATATTGTGCCGTATGGATGGTTTTGCTGGGATGACAAGTAGTTCAGTTTTAGAGAGGTTGAGTTGGAGATAGTGGGATTTCATCCATTTTGATATGTCAGAGAGACAGTTTGATATTCGTGCAGAGACAGTGTGGTCGTCCGGTGGAAATGACCGGTGGAATATTTATGTGTAAATGGTTACAGACGGTCTCTGATGCCAACAGTGGACCGAGTAGACCGGTTCCTTTGAAGGACGCAGCCTCTGAATGTGAACATGAAAACATGTACCATTACAACCAAAGGCTTTAATAATAATGTGCTCTCACTTACTTGATCTCCTTTTGGTCCAAGAACTAAGTTCTGTCACTCAACAAAAATAGTATTATTGGTCTGGTCCTCAGCAGGAAACGAAACATAGTCTGAACCAACGATAACCCATCAGAAAAACACTTTCAGTTTAAAAAACTAAATATTAACAAAACATATTCATGCTGATCCAGATGTTTCCAGCTGCAGCTCAAGTAGAACCGATGGAAAACCACCTAAAACCAGATCAGCCTGAACTTGAATTCTAAAGAACCCCGTCATCAGAACCAGAAAAATAAAATCAGATTAAAAAAAACTGGTTTAAAACAAAAAGAAACTTGAATAAAATAAGTGGGACTTGTAGTAACACCAAACGACCACAGGAGGGCAGCAGGACGTAAGAAGTCAAAAGGAACAGAAAAACTCAAGCTAGATTTCAAGTTAAAAAAGTTTTTTTATCTTTTGTTTAGGAAACAAGAATGAAACTAATAATTTTAATTTAGTTAATTAATACTAATTATTGTGACATTATTGTAACACTGAGTCTCGACCTAATGCTGAGAAATAAAACATCATTAGTAAATGAGTAAATGTTATACATTATTACGGTTTACTGACTTATTTATAACTTTGTTTTATGCAACAAAACCACAAATGTATTGGAAAAGAAGGTCAAAGGTCATCCATTGACCACCTTCACTCACTGAGATTTTCTATATAGATATTTAAAGAATTGTTAGAATGGATGGATGCAGCCCTTTCTCGTGTGTGTGTGTGTGTGTGTGTGTGTGTGTGTGTGTGTGTGTGTGTGTGTGTGTGTGTGTGTGTGTGTGTGTGTGTGTGTGCATCTGCTTGGGATGGGATTGAAGGTGGGAGGAAGGAGATACAAAGGGGATCTCATATGTGAATCTGTGTGGGAGGGGCGGGAAACCGACTGCTGTCTGGTTATTTTTAATATTGTAAAGCGCTTAGAGCCGCATTTGTATGAAAAGCTCTTCATAAATAAATTTGATTGATTGATTGATTCTATTTTCTTTCCTCTGAGGTTTTTAACTGACTGTGAAACTGAGTCCATCAGGTCACTCCTTCATGGACATCATCCAGGGGCTTCGATTCAAACGTTTAACTTACAAAGTTATCAAAACACCACTTTTAAGGAGGTTGTGTGTGTGTGTGTGTGTGTGTGTGTGTGTGTGTGTGTGTGTGTGTGTGTGATAGGATGTGACAGTTGTGATCTCCGTTAACCCTCCATCCATTGTCATTTCTCTGAAGCTGCTCAGCTGTGAAATCACCGAGACAGACAGCGACCCACAATCCTCCCCGTCTGTCTGCTGTTTCCAGCTGTATAAACCTAACACACACACACACACGCACACACACACACACACACACACACACACACACACACACACGCACGCACGCACGCACGCACACACGCACACACGCGCACACACACACACGCACACACACACACACACACGCACACACACACACACACACACACGCACGCACGCACGCACACACGCACACGCGCGCACACACACACACGCACACCAAGGAGACAGCTAGATGTTATTTACTCCATCAGCTGTTTAATCAAGCAGCCCATTAGATTTCTGCTGCTCTGACATCTGGATGAACTTGAATGAAGGCAGAGACATCTAGACCGTTGGGAGGGTCACCTTGTGTTAATCTGTGATTTCTACCTGAAAGATGTTTCTGGAAACAGAAGCTAAGCATTCCAGTGACGTCAGACTAGGATCTGCTTGTTTGTGTGACATCGTCGGACCTCTCACTCCCAAGCCCTCCGTGGGGACCTAACATGTCCTCATAAACTAAATGATCAGACTCTAATAAAACTCTCTTTTCATCATGTTAATGATTCCTATGAAGGTAAACTGGTTTTAATAAAGTCCCTCGAAGCGAGGGACACACCGGATGAAAATCAGCAAAAGTGTGTGTGGAATCTGCTGACTCAGTCCGAGGTAAACATTTGATTTAACATCATCACATTCCTGCTTCCTCCTCCATCCTCTGCCTCCTCACGGCACCGGCCATGTGTGCCAGTAAATGTGTCATCGCAACAGTTACCAGGTGAACTGTGCTGTGATTGGCTGACGTGCTTGTGGGTTCAGACTCACCCGCGCTCCCTTTGCCGGGAAACAGTGGCAGGTGGAGCAGTCCCGTCCGCCACACGGCTCGGTTTGGTCGCCCTGGAAACAACAACAAACCAGACATCACTATGATGTCATAGCCGCCTGAATGTTTTAGCAAAATTACAATTAGGATAAAATTTGATTAAGAAAATGCGTTTTCGTCTCAGATTTACATAATTGATGAAGAGTGACATGAACCAGCTCAGCATCAGAATAATGCTTTTAAATAAAAGTCTACTTGATCTTCCAGAAGTAACCCCTGGTCCATGCGGTCCTACTGATGACGGGTAAAGTCTGAACTGAATGCATCAGGAACCAAACATCAACATGTTGGGTCTCAGTCCAGGAAACTCCCCTGACCTTTATAACTCCAGAGACAGGACAAAATAAAACCAAGCACAGATGCGGAAGAACGAGCTCCATTAGTCAGAACCTGGACCAGAAGCTGACGGGTAGCAGGTCAGGGGAGCTGGAGAGATCTAGATGGACCAACACTGGAGATGTGGGGTCGTTGTGTCAACATGTCCGTTAAAGTCTTTTAAACTTCTGAAATGCTTTAATTCTGTGTCTGTAACCATAGAAACGTCATCCAGGTCATGGTAAATGGCAATGGCCTGCATTTGTAGCGCCTTCTTAGGGTTCTACGACCCCTCAAGGTGTTTTAACACACATTCACACGCTGGTGATGATGAGCTGATGAGTTGGGGATGAACGGGTGAATGAGTGATGAGTTGTGAAGTTCCTTGGGGGGGTTGTAAAACTCCAGAAGGCACTATTTAAATAAAAAGCTATTTTACCATTTTCCATGCTGAGAACATGTTTAAACAGCTGAGCAGGCGGGTTTTTGTTGTGGCTGATTCTGAAAGGACATCAGGGAATGTAAACATCAGACAACATCTCATTCTGAAGAAGCAGACTCTGGCGTTAGTGTGACTTTAAACAGATCCAGTGATAATCACGCTTCATTTTTCCTGCTCAGACGTTTTCAGAACAAAATCGAGCCAGAGCCAGCCAGTGTTGCCATTTTAGATTTAAGTTTGCACATTTTCTAACGAACTAGTTCAGCTCATTGTTCACAGTTAACGAAAAAAGAACTGTTCATAATCATTGGGGGATGTGACCTGATGAGATCACAGTAACAAAGATTATGATTACTAACACACTACACCATCATGGCTTCAAACCCAGCGTTCAAAAGGTACCGCTGCTTGAGCCAGCCCATGCCCAGGGGACACCAGGGGACAGGACGACTGAGAAGCGTGAAGGAAAGGACAAATGTGACCATGATTCATGAGATTTTGGGCAAAAACATCCTGCCATCAGTGTGAACCCTGGGGATGAATTGTAGCTAGACTTTCTACTAGACCTTCTAGGATGACAATGATCCCAAACACACCGCCCGGGTAATGAAGGGAGTGTGGGTGTAGCCAAAGATGAAAATAGTGCATATTTTTCCTCAATATTTCTTATTTCATTGGCTTATTTACAACATCTGGCTCTTTTATCCAGTTATAGTGAACTCAAAATAAACCAGAGAGGTTCTGATTCACATCAGAACCCAAAAATGTTCTGCCCAAAATATTCATAAAGAAAAATTGACCCACATTCCCATCTCTTATTTTGCTGGTTCCTGTTGTCTTATGTATTTATACTGAGACATCAAACAGGGAGGACCCTGTCCTAGCTGTCCCACAACAGACTGTCCTAATGTCCAGCTCTGTTGTCTTTACTCTCTGGGGCCAGACGATGGGTTTAAAGCCAGCAGCAGTGTTTGTGTAGTAGCTACATTCCTGCTATCACTTCATCTGGACGGGTTCACAGAGTCTTCAGCTCCACTAACCTCTAGCTGTCACTGGTCTGATATCCTGTCTGCACCCACACCAGCTACCAGAGTCCTCTAAAAACTACACCCCAATCTATCAATGAGGACCAAGTGAAAAACATGATATGAATCACAAATGATGAAAATATTTTTTTGAATCTCGGTTATGCTCCTTAACTCGTTACAGCCACAAAACCACCATGTGTTACTTGTTACATCCACATGACCACCATGTGTTACACGTTACATCCACAAGACCACCAGGTGTTACAGGTTACATCCACACGACCACCAGGTGTTACTGGTTACATCCACAAAACCACCAGGTGTTACTGGTTAAATCCACAAGACCACCAGGTGTTACAGGTTACAGCCACAAAACCACCAGGTGTTACTTGTTACATCCACATGACCACCATGTGTTACACGTTACATCCACAAGACCACCAGGTGTTACAGGTTACATCCACACGACCACCAGGTGTTACTGGTTACATCCACAAAACCACCAGGTGTTACTGGTTAAATCCACAAAACCACCAGGTGCTACTCGTTACACCCACAAGACCACCAGGTGTTACAGGTTATATCCACACGACCACCAGGTGTTACTGGTTAAATCCACAAAACCACCAGGTGCTACTCGTTACACCCACAAGACCACCAGGTGTTACAGGTTATATCCACACGACCACCAGGTGTTACACATTACATCCACAAGACCACCAAGTGTTACAGGTTACATCCACAAAACCACCAGGTGTTACTGGTTAAATCCACACGACCACCAGGTGTTACTCGTTACACCCACACGACCACCAGGTGTTACTCGTTACACCCACACGACCACCAGGTGTTACACATTACATCCACAAGACCACCAAGTGTTACAGGTTACATCCACACAACCACTAGGTGTTACTGGTTACATCCACAAAACCACCAGGTGTTACTGTTTAAATCCACAAAACCACCAGGTGTTACTCGTTTCATCCACAAGACCACCAGGTGTTACAGGTTACATCCACAAAACCACCAGGTGTTACTCGTTACATCCACAAGACCACCATGTGTTACTGGTTACATCCACAAAACCACCTTGTGTTACTGGTTACATCCACAAGACCACCATGTGTTACGCGTTACATCCACACGACCACCATGTGTTACACGTTACATCCACACGACCACCATGTGTTACTGGTTACATCCACAAAACCACCTTGTGTTACTGGTTACATCCACAAGACCACCATGTGTTACGCGTTACATCCACAAAACCACCATGTGTTACACGTTACATCCTCAAAACCACCAGGTGTTACTGGTTACATCCACAAAACCACCTTGTGTTACTGGTTACATCCACAAGACCACCATGTGTTACACGTTACATCCACAAAACCACCATGTGTTACACGTTACATCCACAAAACCACCATGTGTTACTGGTTACATCCACAAAACCACCATGTGTTACTGGTTACATCCACAAAACCACCATGTGTTACGCGTTACATCCACAAAACCACCATGTGTTACACGTTACATCCTCAAAACCACCAGGTGTTACTGGTTACATCCACAAAACCACCTTGTGTTACTGGTTACATCCACAAGACCACCATGTGTTACACGTTACATCCACAAAACCACCATGTGTTACACGTTACATCCACAAAACCACCATGTGTTACACGTTACATCCACAAGACCACCAGGTGTTACACGTTACATCCACAAGACCACCATGTGTTACACGTTACATCCACAAAACCACCATGTGTTACACGTTACATCCTCAAAACCACCAGGTGTTACTGGTTACATCCACATGACCACCAGGTGTTACTGGTTACATCCACAAGACCACCATGTGTTACACGTTACATCCACAAAACCACCATGTGTTACACGTTACATCCACAAGACCACCATGTGTTACACGTTACATCCACAAGACCACCATGTGTTACACGTTACATCCACAAAACCACCATGTGTTACACGTTACATCCTCAAAACCACCAGGTGTTACTGGTTACATCCACATGACCACCAGGTGTTACTGGTTACATCCACAAGACCACCATGTGTTACACGTTACATCCACAAAACCACCATGTGTTACACGTTACATCCACAAGACCACCATGTGTTACACGTTACATCCACAAGACCACCAGGTGTTACAGGTTACATCCACATGACCACCATGTGTTACACGTTACATCCACAAGACCACCATGTGTTACACGTTACATCCACAAGACCACCATGTGTTACACGTTACATCCACAAAACCACCATGTGTTACACGTTACATCCTCAAAACCACCAGGTGTTACTGGTTACATCCACATGACCACCAGGTGTTACTGGTTACATCCACAAAACCACCATGTGTTACACGTTACATCCTCAAAACCACCAGGTGTTACTGGTTACATCCACATGACCACCAGGTGTTACTGGTTACATCCACAAGACCACCATGTGTTACACGTTACATCCACAAAACCACCATGTGTTACACGTTACATCCACAAGACCACCATGTGTTACACGTTACATCCACAAGACCACCAGGTGTTACAGGTTACATCCACAAAACCACCATGTGTTACACGTTACATCCACAAGACCACCATGTGTTACACGTTACATCCACAAGACCACCATGTGTTACACGTTACATCCACAAAACCACCATGTGTTACACGTTACATCCTCAAAACCACCAGGTGTTACTGGTTACATCCACATGACCACCAGGTGTTACTGGTTACATCCACAAAACCACCATGTGTTACACGTTACATCCACAAAACCACCATGTGTTACACGTTACATCCACAAGACCACCATGTGTTACACGTTACATCCACAAGACCACCAGGTGTTACAGGTTACATCCACATGACCACCAGGTGTTACACGTTACATCCACAAAACCACCAGGTGTTACTGCTTACATAAATTGAATCCTGTAGGTATTTCATATGTTCAGACATGTTGAACAAATCAGAAGACGGTCAAAGTTGGACTCACCCCGGGAGCTGCTGGACCAATAACAAGCAGGAAGGAGAGATACCTGCAAATGGAGACAAACAAGTGTGACATTTCCTTTGTTCATTTATTTTTCTGGCTCATTCTGATGTAACACCAGCCTGAGATTTAGTCCCAGTAACATACAAGGGTCTGATTGACCGGGTCAGTGTAATAGCTGTTTGATGATGACGGTTCTGATTCACAACAACCCAGATCCTGATCCAAACCAAACCTAAACTCTTCCGTCTTTAGACGCAACAGCTCTGTAGTCTGTTTCACTGACAGTTGAACACATCAAACCAGAGGATTACCTACTGAGAACCACTGATTCCAGATCACTTCAGTCACTTTGTGCAACCATGACAACCTGAACTCAATAAAACAGCAACAGCTAGCTTCTAGCTAGCCATGGTTCTACAAGGTTCTGACCAGCTCTGAGTGATGGAACAATGAATCCATGCTCATAAAAAACACTCTGTTTACTTACTGGATCCAGAAGCTGTGAGAAGAGCAGGTAGTCAGCAGCATCATGTCGTCAGAGTAGAGCCCCGCCCACTTCACGTCCTGTCACTGAGGCTCCTCCTCCAGCCGACTCTGACGCTGGTGCTCTTCCTGCAAAGACAAAGACAAGATGGTGAGCCTCGATTCTGCTCCTTTTCATGTCAAAAGGATGTGACCCGGAGCAAGGAGAAGGAGCTTTAGCTTGAGAGACACCCGTGTCACAGGTACAACCTGTCAGAGTGATCAGAATTTACAAAACACACCTGATCTTTCCCTATAATGACGCATCATGAGTGCGTTTTTGTTGTTCGGCTGGCGTGAGCCCCTCGGGGGGACTCATACCAACGTAGCAATGGCAACGGAAATGTTACAAATGCATTTGTTTCACGCGTGTGCCTATGTACCTGTGATGTGGTGATGGGGGGGGGAATGTTTGTCCTAGCGGGACACAGTAGCTCTGACCGTAGCCGAGCAGCATTCCGCTGCACAGCACACATCAATATAGGTTTAATATTGGTCATCTACCTCATATTTCTGTGTTTATTATATTTCTTTATTTTGCTACAAGCTAAATGTTTTATTACCAAACAAACGTTTTAGGGACACATTTAGTGTTGCTGTTCAGGCACATCAACCGCAGGTTGTAGCTTGAGAGTTCGTTGTGATATGTCCAAAACTGTTTGTACTAAATTAGCAGAAGGCAATATGTTTAAATGTTTATGATGTTATATTTATTTTAAAAAAAGAATGAATGTTCTAAACAAAGTTTGGTCCCCTCACAGTTCAGAACCCAGTCTGGTGCCTCCATTCCTGCAGGATCCACATCCCACCTTCACCGTAGCGCAACACAGAGTGTTTGGAGAGATTTCTGCAAGCTGCAGATGCACAGAGGGATAATAATAATAATAATAATAATAATAATAATAATACAAGTGTGAACTTTGAATTATAAAGCACTTTACATTTGAAACAAATCTCAAAGCGCTACAAAGTAATTTAACCCGAAAGCTCTGGTAAAAAAAATAACAAGATTCAAGACCAGATTTAAAAGCGTCACTAGTCTGTGGTATCCTCAGATGACCTGGGAGGGAATTCCAAAGTCTGGGTGCAGCTGAGCAAAAAGCAAGATCTCCCAAGGTGCGAAGTTTAGTCTTTGGAGTTTTCAAAAGATGTACTGATGCAGAGCGGAGGTTGCGTGTGGACGTCTGTGAAAACAGAAATTCTTTAAGGTGTGTGTGTGTGTGGGGGGGGGGGGGGGGGGGGGGGGGCATCCCCATAAATACACTGGTGGGTGAGAAGGGCAACCTTGTAATCAATTCTAGATGAAACAGGGAGCCAGTGAAGAGATTTAAGAATGGGCGTAATATGGTCATATTTGCGTCCTCTCATCAGGACCCCAGCAGCACAGTTCTGAATGTACTGCAGCTTTTGAAGGATTTTTCCAGTAGTCCCAATGAGAAGTGCATTGCAGATATCCTGCCTGGAGGAGACAAACGCATGGACCAGCTTTTCCGCATTAGCAAACGTTAGTGCTGGACGCAGTTTTGCTATATTCCTGAGGTGGAAAAAAGACGTTTTACACAGATGTTTCACATGGGCCTCATACGTCGAACTCAAGTCCATTTCAACCCCAAGGTTTATAACAGATGTTGACAGTGGGATATTCTGACCAGAAAAGGTAATAAGGTTGATGTTAGATGACCTAACCTGGTGTGGGGTGCCTACTAAAGTAGCTTCAGTCTTAGAGCTGTTTAGCTGCAGGAAATTTTGCTTCATCCATGACTTGATCTCCTCCAAACAGATGGTCAACGTGGATGATGGCGGAGTAGACGAGGAGGTGGGATTTATCCTGAGATAAAGCTGAGTATCGTCAGCTTAACAATGGAATAAAATATGCTGGCTGATGATATGGGCCGGGGGGAGCATATATAATACGAACAAAATCGGACTGAGCACAGAGCCCTGAGGAACACCACAGGTGACATTGTGTGTAGCAGATTTACCCTCTCCCAGGGCAACATGCTCTGTTCTTTCAGTAAGATAAGATGAGAACCAATTGTAAACAGAGTCAGAGAGTCCAACAGCGTGACGTAATCTGTAAAGCAGAATGTTGTGATCAACAGTATCAAAGGCTGAGGACAGGTCCAACAGGATGAGAACCGATGGGAAACCAGCATCAGCCGACATCAGCAGGTCATTCGTAACTCTAACCGGAGCTGTTTCCACACGGTGGATTGCCTGGGTTACATTTGTTATTCTTTTATGTTTAAGCAGTGACACATTGTGTTTCTTTAATTAAATGTGAAGTTATTTTTAAAAAGTGAAGAAATAATTGCTACAATTCTATTTGCAGATGAGCGATAACAGTCACAGTCTGCAGATGAACATCTCTGACTTAACAGGGATAAAGAAGGAGAGGAAATCGACCTTCAGCCCACCGGCCCAATCTGAGGCTTTGGAGCAGGAACCAGACCCGGCCAGAACAGTAGTGAGAAGAGGCAGCAGCTGAAATCCTAAAAGCAGATTTTAAACTGGTCAGTGAACCAAATGTTCCACTCCAGGAGTTAATCATAGCCGTTAGTTTTAATGTGCTATTTTACAATCAGGACCTAGAAGTTCTACCCCTGTTTAGGTCCAAAACCAGTCCAGTCTGAGGTTCTGAGATGTTCTCCAGTTCCACCATCAAACCGGGAAAACATAAGTTCTTGATAGGTTCCTCCTCCACAGAACAGAACATCAGGAACCTGGAGAGAGTAGGTCTGACCCTTCAGACAGAACCACATCTTAAACCATCAGTATCAGACAGGAGAACCACATCTGGAACCATCAGCATCAGACAGAACCACATCTGGAACCATCAGACAGAACCACATCTGGAACCATCAGTATCAGACAGAAGAACCACATCTGGAACCATCAGACAGAACCACATCTGAAAGCAAAAGTATCAGACAGAACCACATCTGGAACCATTAGCATCAGACAGAACTACATCTGGAACCATTAGCATCAGACAGAACCACATCTGGAACCATTAGCATCAGACAGAACCACATCTGGAACCATCAGTATCAGACAGAAGAACCACATCTGGAACCATCAGCATCAGACAGAACCACATCTGGAACTATCAGACAGAACCACATCTGGAACCATCAGCATCAGACAGAACCACATCTGGAACCATTAGCATCAGACAGAACCACATCTGGAACCATTAGCATCAGACAGAACCACATCTGGAACCATTAGCATCAGACAGAACCACATCTGGAACCATCAGACAAAACCACATCTTGAACAATCAGTATCAGACAGAAGAACCACATCTGGAATCATTAGCATCAGACAGAACCACTTTTGGAACCATCAGTATCAGACAGAACCACACCTGGAACCATCAGTATCAGACAGAACCACATCTGGAACCATCAGTATCAGACAGAACCACATCTGGAACCATTAGCATCAGACAAAACCACATCTGGAACCATTAGCATCAGACAAAACCACATCTGGAACCATTAGCATCAGACAGAACCACATCTGGAACCATTAGCATCAGACAAAACCACATCTGGAACCATTAGCATCAGACAGAACCACATCTGGAACCATCAGACAAAACCACATCTTGAACCATCAGCATCAGACAGAACCACATCTGGAACCATCAGTATCAGACAGAAGAACCACATCTGGAATCATTAGCATCAGACAGAACCACTTTTGGAACCATCAGTATCAGACAGAACCACACCTGGAACCATCAGTATCTGACAGAACCACATCTGGAACCATAAGAATCAGATAGAACCATGCCTGGCACCATCAGCATCTGACAGAACCATATCTGGAACCATAAGTATCAGACAGAACCACGCCCAGGACCATTAGCATCTGACAGAACCACATCTGGAACCATAAGAATCAAACAGAACCATGCCTGGCACCATCAGCATTTGACAGAACCACATCTGGAACCATAAGTCTCAGACAGAACCACGCCCAGGATCATCATCATCTGACAGAACCACATCTGGAACCATAAGTATCTGACAGAACCACATCTGGAACCATAAGTATCTGACAGAATCGCATCTGGAGTCTCTCAAGCTAAAGTTCATCAGTTACCTTCATCAAACAATCTTCTAAGACTTCAGTCTGATCTGAACCTGATTCAAAGATCGCGCCACCATTCTCCAACATAATCGAACCAGATGTTCTGTTCAGGTGTGTTTCCATCTGAAGTCCCATCACATTTGTAGAAACAGTCAGACCTAGGAGCTCAAAAGTGTCGGAAACCAGAAGGAACGTACTTCCTGGTTACATGCTGCTGTAACGAACCAATATGATCATCAGCCCAGGACCAAGACCTGGACCAGGATCAAAAGAACCAGTATAAGAATCAGGACCAGGATTGAGACCAAGAACCCTGCCAGCAGCTCTAAGATGATAAGTGGATCTTGTTTTCATGAAGCTCAGACAGGTCGGGTTCTGAAATCAGCCCAAGTCCAAAGAAAATCTCTGAAGAACTGCTGATCCAGAACCAGTTTAAAGGATTTAGGAGAGTCTGGATCGGGACCGGATCAGTGGTTCTGCTCTGCAGGTGTTGAGTGGATCATAATTCTTAATTCTAAACGCTTTCTCATCAGCTGATTCCAGCAGAACTTTGATCTTTACTTTGAGGGAAAAGTTTGGATAGAAGGTAATTGAGTCATATTACTGGAGCAGTCTGACACGGAACCAGCCTGAGACCCGGACCGTATCAGAATCCGTTTCCGAACCGCTTCGCATTCAACTGAAAACTTTCTTTAGAACTTTCTAAACTTCAAAGGTTTCGTTTCGTGATCGGATGAAATCTTCCTCTTCTTAATTTGCAGCTAATTAATTAAGCGTGTGACGTCAGCGCAACATTGGACTCTAAAAAACAGCTGATTAACGGCTGTATTTTTACAACCTTCCTTTCATCCACCTGCGGTCCGACAGCACGTGACCATCCACCCATCAGACAGCTCAGGTGAGTTCTCTTACCTGCACGTCTCGCGCTCCGTCCGAAGCTTCACGCGGTTTTCATCACGCAAACATAAAGATGCAAAAAGGAAATTTATCAAACGTCAGCCGCGGGTCACGTCAAGTTACTGTATGACAGCGAGCCTCGCCACCACTTCCGCTGAGTCCTGACAAAATAAAAGCCGCTCGTTTTTTTGTTCCACCTTCAAAACGAGGTTGTTTATTCGTAAACTTTAATTTACTGTAAAAAAAAAGTTTATTTGTGTCAGCTCCTGTAGTATTTTTGAGTTCTGCTCCATCAGCGGCTGCAGGACTGGAACCAGAACCTTGGGTTCTGCTCCATGCAGGGCTGCGTCGGGATTCGGACCTTCAACAATTAAATAAAACCAGACAAAATAAAACTATATTGGTCATTTTAGTTGGATGAATCTGGCCGTTTGTTTTCTATTGATTTCCTAATTAATAATCAGTTATCATAATTGGTTATTGTATTTCTGTGCGCGTGCCCGGTCGGGTCTCCGTGGCCGCGCCCTCAGGATGAGTTCAGAGAATCCAGCCGCTGCTTTCAGTTTCACCGGCTGCTGCGTTCCCTCACATGTGGACTGAGCCGAACCGAGCCGAGAGGAACACCACGGAGTTCTCGAACCCCTTGTCATCAGGACCACGGCCCGGATGGATCTGATTCTCCTCCTGCTGATGTTCTGCCGCCTCTTCTCTCTGGACCACGCCAAACAGGTGAGTGGACTCCCGGTACCGGGTCTCTGGCACCAGAGGCTGCATCACCTCGGAACACAACAGTCCGGATCTCCAGGTGAGACCAGGTGTGCAACAGTTGCATGTAGCCAAACAGCAGGGCAGAACTTTTCCAAGTGTCCGACTGGATCACAACCCTGGTTCTGTATAATTGGGTCAGGGGGCCTTACCTGTCAGCATCTTTAACAAACCGAACCTCAGAACCGGAACACCCGAATTGTCAAACACATTGAGAAGGTTTGAATCAGCTGATGCTCAAATAGGCGTAACCATGGAGACATACTGGGAGACATAGCACTCATAGCTCAGACTAATAATAATAATAATAATAATAATAATAATGCCATTAATATTATTATTATTATTATTAACAATATTGGTATGATATATAGGAGCAGTTACCCCTCTGTTAACGCCACAATGGACTATTCCTTTATTACACCGATGCACAAACGGTAAGTGATCCATAGTCATTCTACTCCAATCCAGTTGGTGGCAGTAATGTGCCAAATTGTTGTTTGCCAAGTGCCGCAAGACTACAAATAATAATAATAATAATAAGAAGAAGAAGAAGAAGAAGAAGAAGAAGAAGAGAGGCGGGAGCGTTCGTAACAAATTCGAAGCGGTGGTCAAAACGTTAAGCATGAAACCGAGTTATCTTGGTGGCTCCAATGAGAGAAAGAAGAAGCGTGCTTCACTTTTGAAAGTGACGTCGTTTTCAATGTAAACATCAAAAGGAAGCAGAAAGGAAAGACAATGGAAAATGTTTAAAGGGAGGAAAAATGGACCAAAATGAAAAATAGAAAATAAACCAAGGCAAAAGCACGGGAGCACTGACAGGAAGAAGAAAGCATTCAAAGGGAGAGAACGACAGGAAAAGAGAGGAGGGCTAATTAAAAGGGAAAACAACTCCTGGCGGAAGAGGGGAGAGTTTTGCAAATCCAGTTAAAAGTAAGATAGTGGAACATTTTGTGTGAGGGGGGCCCATGTCTGTGTTTGCCTTGGGCCCCCAAATAGCTAAATCCGCCACTGGCTACTGGTAGTAGTAGAATATTAGTGTCCATGTGATCTTCGAGTTTTTGTGCCTTAAAGGGACAGTGTGTTATATTTATCGGCAGTTTCTGGGTGGGTGAAAACGGTCCTAAACCAAATGAAGACCTTTCATTCTGATGAAACTACGGTGGCTTATGAGGGTCACAGAGAAGATCAAAACAACAGGGAGTGTTGAGTTTAAAGTCCTAATAAAGATCAGCTACAGTGGTGAGTCTCAACTGGTGGTCTATTGATCCATCTTTTGAGTTTCTGCTGCTGCTGTGTAATGATCTGTGTGTTCTCCCAGCCCAACATATGATTTCCTCTAGTGCAGTGGTCAGTTACGGCGGATTTCTTCATTGTGCTTTCTGCTTCTTGTTTTGCTGCTCTTGTGTGCCTTAGACCAGGCCCGGTAACGCCGCGGCTGCCGTAGACTAGTTTCCTTCTCTCTCTTGATCGTTCTGGAGTCAAAATTCAGATTTGGTGTCATTTCTTTTTCCACTCCGAACCATATCTACCCTTTCCAACAGAGCCTGAGCGTGAACTAGAACCATTAGATGGTTCTGATCCGGTCATGCAGTTTAAACAAAAGATTAAGACAACTATCCGACCAAGTTTTTTGGAGAAACCCAACAGAACCACAGCATAAAACAGGATTATGAATTCAGTTCAGTTTATTTAAACAGCACCAAAACCCTGCCTACTTCAGTTCAGTCCAGTTAGCAGAACCAGAACCAGTCATTTTTAAATTAGCCAAAGAAACAAGCTGACTGGATCAAATCCTAACCCTCCTGAGGAAAGAACTGGCAGCAGAACCGGGATTAAGATTAATACTGAATTTTTACAGCAGAGTCTGGAATCATCAGTGTGTTCAGCTGGGCCACATTCCATTAAGATGTTCCACTTTGAGTATTCCTTTGAGGAATAACTAGTTGGTGCAGTAGCAGAAATGGAGCGCGGCCCTCATTAAGACACCTGCTATTGGACCGTTTACACTACGGTCAGCTCGGCCTGGCTCAGGTGCTCATTGGTGCATTTTCACTGATGTCCATGTGAAGCTGACTCTTTTTTTGTCAGCCTTGCTTACCTGCGGTTTGTTTAGTGCTGAACCGACACCCACCTGTGGACTGATTAGCAGGCTGAAGTGATGTCACTCTCACGCCAAGTGGGAGCCTCTGATTGGCCTAGCTGTGTGCATGCGAAGTGATGTCACAGATCAACACTTGACTGAACCTAAATAGTCAGCAACATTTTTACGTTGCATTTAATGCAAAGTTAAGGGCCATTCAGTCCCTTTACCAGAGGAGCGTGAGTTTGGTTCGCATAGCCGGCAGTGAGTCGGACCTGTTCTCGGTGAGGGTAGGAGGGACCGGGAGATCGACAGGCGGGACGCTGAGCCGATCTGTCGTGGTGAAGAGGGAGCTGAGCCAGAAAGCCAGGCTCTCGATTTACCGGTCGATCTACGTCCCAATCCTCACCTATGGTCATGAGCTTTGGGTGATGACCGAAAGAACGAGATCGCGGATACAAGCGGCCGAAATGAGTTTCCTCCGTAGGGTGGCCGGGCTCAGCCTTAGAGATAGGGTGAGGAGCTCGGACATTCGGGAGGGACTCGGAGTAGAACCGCTGCTCCTCCGGATCGAAAGGAGGCAGTTGAGGTGGTTTGGGCATCTGGTCAGGATGCCTCCTGGACGCCTCCCTGGGGAGGTGTTTCGGGCATGTCCTGCCGGCAGGAGGCCCCCGGGTCGACCCAGGACACGTTGGAGAGGTTACATCTCCAATCTGGTCCGGGAACGCCTTGGGGTCCTGCCGGAGGAGCTGGTGGAGGTGGCCGGGGAGAGGACGGTCTGGAGCTCCCTAGTTGGGATGCTGCCCCCGCGACCTGGACCCGGATAAGCGGAGGAAGACAACGATGACGATTTAATGCACAATGTTTCTTCCTGGATAAGAGCCAAAAAAGAG